TGCAACTGTCTTGGAACCAATTTTAGTTCTCCATTTATTTAAATGAGATCACAAATGGTTCATGCAGAACAATGCCAAAATTATGATTAGTTATGTGTGGTTGCTAAACTGCTGCTGAAACTAGTTTCAATATTGGTTATATTTGATGAAACGAGCATTGAAATTGTTCTATTCCAGCACGGAGAACATCTCTGACGGTGCCTGAGCCACCACTGGTGTTGGAACTGTTTCTGTGTGGTGTGGTCACAGAGAAGCTGTGTGTTGGGTCTGCATTTTGTGGACTTCATAAAATACTCCGACTCGTCAGAGCTCTTCTGTGTGTCGGAGTCTGCAATACTTTGGGTTGGGTTAATTTTGTTTTCACTGGATTGGTGTCTCAGTCTTGTATTTTGTTTAACAAGTTTACACACATGTCGCTGTATAATGAATCCCAAAATAATGATGAGGAACTTCCTTGCTTGTTGACTTTGAGTAAGGTCAACTGACTATGAATAAGTAATGCTACGTGGGATTCAATAAAATTTTCCTCATGACTCGTGCTGTTACATTAATAGGATTAATGATACCTGTTACATTAATGGGATTTCTGTTACGTTAATGGGTTAATGATACTTGTTGTTACATTAATGGGTTAATGATACTTGTTGTTACATTAATGGGTTAATGATACTTGTTGTTACATTAATGGGTTAATGATACTTGTTGTTACATTAATGGGTTAATGATACTTGTTGTTACGTTAATGGGTTAATGATACTTGTTGTTACATTAATGGGTTAATGATACTTGTTGTTACGTTAATGGGTTAATGATACTTGTTGTTACATTAATGGGTTAATGATACTTGTTGTTACATTAATGGGTTAATGATACTTGTTGTTACATTAATGGGTTAATGATACTTGTTGTTACATTAATGGGTTAATGATACTTGTTGTTACATTAATGGGTTAATGATACTTGTTGTTACATTAATGGGTTAATGATACTTGTTGTTACATTAATGGGTTAATGATACTTGTTGTTACATTAATGGGTTAATGATACTTGTTGTTACGTTAATGGGTTAATGATACTTGTTGTTACATTAATGGGTTAATGATACTTGTTGTTACGTTAATGGGTTAATGATACTTGTTGTTACATTAATGGGTTAATGATACTTGTTGTTACATTAATGGGTTAATGATACTTGTTGTTACATTAATGGGTTAATGATACTTGTTGTTACATTAATGGGATTTCATCGTGCATTTGAAGACAAACTTTAGATGTGAACTCCTAACTCACACCAGTGTATGGGAACAATGTGTGAACATCCTGACCACTTGGCTTCCGTTGAAGCCTCAGGATCCCTAGATGATTCAGTTGAATCCCAGGCTGTAAATGGCTTTATCACGTCGTGGCGATGTGGTCTAAAGGAGTGTACTTGGAGGTACTCATAACATAGAGTCGAATCTTCCTCATGGCTCCAACTTATTTCTCATTATTTTTACTATTAACATTAGAGTTTATTTTACTAATATGATTATTATTATAAATAATATTATGATTGAGATGCTTACTACATTACCATTGTGTTTAAATGAAAGTGAAGAATAGACCCAATAGACGAGTAAGTGAATAATTAACCGGAACTGTTGAAGGAACCTTCACCTCACGCTCAAGGGATAACTACACAGACAAGGTGTAGCAACACACACTCAAGGGATAAGTACACAGATAATGTGTAGCAACACACACTCAAGGGATAAGTACACAGACAAGGTGTAGCAACACACACTCAAGGGATAAGTACACAGACAAGGTGTAGCAACACACACTCAAGGGATAAGTACACAGACAAGGTGTAGCAACACACAGGACCAAAGACGGGACCAAAGAGCCAAAGCTCAACCCCCGCAAGCACAATTAGGTGAGTACACTCAAGGGATAACTACACAGTGGTCTAACCCACTTCCAGTGTACCATCTTCACTCCACCATGACCTCTAATGACCCAACCATTCACTCACAGTTGGAACAATGTCCTGAACAAGGGATTTCTTGCCGACTAGAAGCTTTTGTAGCTGTTCTTAGTGGTTTTAACCCAACCTCAAACCAAACTATTATATAGATGTATTAACATAGTTGGTGTTCAAGGACTGACTGACTGCTCCAGCGCTGACCTGTTGACAGACACACTATCATCATATCTGTTTGGAGGGCAACCACTTGGACTGGACGGTAGAGAGATGGTCTCGCTTCATGCAGGCCGGCGTTCAATCCCCGACCGTCCAAGTGGTTGGGCACTATTCCTTCCCATCCCAAATCCTTATCCTGACCCCTTCCCAGTGCTACACAGTCGTAATGGCTTGGCGCTTTCTTCCTGATAGTTCCCTTCCCTTCTGTTTTGAGGGAGATAAATTATCATTTTTTTTATTATAATTACAATTATGAATAAAATATTATGATTACATTTGGGAGTTACATTGTACACTGTCATCCACCAGATACGGTGAATGTATACTGTCATCCACCAGATACGGTGAGTGTATACTGTCATCCACCAGATACGGTGAGTGTATACTGTCATCCACCAGATACGGTGAGTGTATACTGTCATCCACCAGATACCGTGAATGTATACTGTCATCCACCAGATACGGTGAGTGTATACTGTCATCCACCAGATACGGTGAGTGTACACTGTCATCCACCAGATACGGTGAGTGTATACTGTCATCCACCAGATACGGTGAGTGTATACTGTCATCCACCAGATACGGTGAGTGTACACTGTCATCCACCAGATACGGTGAGTGTATACTGTCATCCACAAAGATACGGTGAGTGTATACTGTCATCCACCAGATACGGTGAGTGTATACTGTCAACCACCAGATACGGTGAGTGTACACTGTCATCCACCAGATACGGTGAGTGTATACTGTCATCCACCAGTCACCACACACCGTAGAAGCACCAGTCACCACACACCGTAGGTCACTAGTCATCACACACCGTAGGTCACCAGTCACCACCAGTATTACCACCAGTCACCACCAGTATTACCACCAGTCACCACCAGTACGTAGGTCACCACACACCATCCGGCTAAACTGGTAGTACTTATAGTACTGTTTGGTCCAAACTACCAATGTACTCTCTTCTACTGTTGCTTTCTGTCTCATTCTGCTTTGTTTCTTGTCTTTCTCTACTCCATTTACGTCTCTTTATCTCCTCCTCCTCGTCCTCGTCCTCCTCGTCCTCCTCGTCTCCTCGTCTCCTCGTCTCCTCGTCTCCACAACACCCGTGAGAGCCAAGACATTCACTCGTTTTTCAATACAAAATAAATTGAAAATACTTCTGATGATAAATAGTTTCTCCTTCACTGTCTCGTGAGACTTTCTTCGTTAATTTCTATTTATTTCAATATGTAAATAAAGACCGCTTCCAGCACTAGTAATCGGGTAATGGTGGATCGGGGTTCGAATATTATATAAAATCGAAATAATATTATTATTATTTAATCCTGAGTATTACTCTGAGGAGTGTCAGAGGGGGGAATATTGCAGGATATTCCAGACACTTTGTCAAGCTCTGGTTCAGTCTCTAGTGATCCTTGTGGGTGCAGTAGTACTCCAGGTTGTAGTTCTGTTGACCCTGTCGTGGTCTAGTCGTCTAGTGTGAGTGTTTTGGAAGATCCACCGCGTAGGTTCGAATCCTCTTTACGGCTTTTAGGGATTTTCTCGCTGATGCTGTCACGTTGGTGTGATTATTCTGAGTATTATTACTATTATTATTATTGTTATTTTTCATATTATTATTAATATTATTATTATTATTGAAGTTGTTACATAAGATTTTAGTATTTTTTAGATTTTTTTGCTTTATTAAAGTTAACCATTATCGTTAATATTAGAAAGCGTGAAGTGGACACTTCAGAGAAAACTAGATTTTTTGGGGTGACTTAGGAAATAATTTCTTTATGTCAATGCAGAATAATAATTTATTACTACGGGGGACAGGCAACCGGTGTTAGGCTTATATCAAGGTCATTCTCCCCCACCCTAAGTCTGGCTACTAACCCCCCCCCCCAAAATCCACATAAGGCTGACTAACTCCTGGGTACCTATTTACTGTTAGGTGAACAAGTGCATTAGGTGATGCACAACGAACCCAACTATATCTGTCCCGCCTGGGATTCGAACCCGGAATTCTATATTGTGAGTCGAGAAGGAACCTGACTGAACTAGAGGTCATTCCGGTTGTCGCTGCGACTACCAACACTACCACTGTCTCTGGCATCATCATTTGGGGTCCCCGTAGTACAGTGGGGTTCGTTCTGGACTCACAATCGAGAATTCTGGGCTCGAATCCCAGCGGGACAGAAATGGTTTAGGGCACGGTTCCAATCACCTAATGCAGCTGTTCACCTGGCAATAAATAGGTACCCAGGAGTTAGTCAGCTTATGTGAGGTTGCACCTTGTGGGGGGGGGGTCAGTAGTCAGACTTTGGTGGAGGGAATGACCTTGATATAAGCCTAACACTGGTTGCCTGACCCCGACACAATAAATTATTATACTGTATTGATATAAAGAAATTAATTCCTAAGTCACCCCAAACAATCTAGTTTTCTCTGGTGTCCACTTCACGCTTTCTAATATTAACGATAATGGTTAACTTTAATAAAGCAAAGAAAGCTAAAAATATACTAAAAACTAATGTAACAACTTCAGTAAAAATAATAATTATAGTAATAATAATAATTATAATAATAATATTGAAAAATAACAATAATAATACAGTAGTATTATTAGGGTCATATGTTAGGGTCAGTAGTTAGGCCTTGGGTTAGGGGGGGTGAGGGGGGAGGAGACCTCGATATAACTACCAGTAACTACCTACTTGTAACTAGCAGTTAGTGTGGCTCACAGAGCACCGCTACTCCAGCTTGTAACTCCCCGGTGTTCACAACTAGTGGTCTGCGTGTCGGGGATATTCTCCTCACTCCACACTCAACAATAACACCAGAACCCGCAGGTTTTTTGTGCCATATTTTGCAGCAAAAAAAACAAGCAAAAGCGCTGCGTTGTGGAGAAGTTTACAACATCAACAGTGGGTGTAGCAACGGTGTTTACAACATCAACAGTGGGTGTAGCAACGGTGTTTACAACATCAACAGTGGGTGTAGCAACGGTGTTTACAACATCAACAGTGGGTGTAGCAACGGTGTTTACAACATCAACAGTGGGTGTAGCAACGGTGTTTACAACCTCAACAGTGGGTGTAGCAACGGTGTTTACAACCTCAACAGTGGGTGTAGCAATGGTGTTTACAACCTCAACAGTGGGTGTAGCAATGGCGTTTACAACCTCAACAGTGGGTGTAGCAATGGTGTTTACAACATCAACAGTGGGTGTAGCAACGGTGTTTACAACATCAACAGTGGGTGTAGCAACGGTGTTTACAACATCAACAGTGGGTGTAGCAACGGTGTTTACAACATCAACAGTGGGTGTAGCAACGGTGTTTACAACCTCAACAGTGGGTGTAGCAATGGTGTTTACAACATCAACAGTGGGTGTAGCAATGGTGTTTACAACATCAACAGTGGGTGTAGCAATGGTGTTTACAACATCAACAGTGGGTGTAGCAACGGTGTTTACAACATCAACAGTGGGTGTAGCAATGGTGTTTGCAACATCAACAGTGGGTGTAGCAATGGTGTTTACAACCTCAACAGTGGGTGTAGCAATGGTGTTTACAACCTCAACAGTGGGTGTAGCAATGGTGTTTACAACCTCAACAGTGGGTGTAGCAATGGCGTTTACAACCTCAACAGTGGGTGTAGCAATGGTGTTTACAACCTCAACAGTGGGTGTAGCAATGGCGTTTACAACCTCAACAGTGGGTGTAGCAATGGTGTTTACAACATCAACAGTGGGTGTAGCAATGGTGTTTACAACATCAACAGTGGGTGTAGCAACGGTGTTTACAACATCAACAGTGGGTGTAGCAATGGTGTTTACAACATCAACAGTGGGTGTAGCAACGGTGTTTACAACATCAACAGTGGGTGTAGCAACGGTGTTTACAACATCAACAGTGGGTGTAGCAACGGTGTTTACAACATCAACAGTGGGTGTAGCAACGGTGTTTACAACATCAACAGTGGGTGTAGCAATGGTGTTTACAACATCAACAGTGGGTGTAGCAACGGTGTTTACAACATCAACAGTGGGTGTAGCAACGGTGTTTACAACATCAACAGTGGGTGTAGCAATGGTGTTTACAACATCAACAGTGGGTGTAGCAATGGTGTTTACAACATCAACAGTGGGTGTAGCAATGGTGTTTACAACATCAACAGTGGGTGTAGCAATGGTGTTTGCAACATCAACAGTGGGTGTAGCAATGGTGTTTACAACATCAACAGTGGGTGTAGCAATGGTGTTTACAACATCAACAGTGGGTGTAGCAATGGTGTTTGTAACCTCAACAGTGGGTGTAGCAATGGTGTTTACAACATCAACAGTGGGTGTAGCAATGGTGTTTACAACATCAACAGTCATTCACTCAACTTTTTGAACATATATGACGACCCAGAGAAGCTTTCAATTCAACTTTCGAAACAACAGTTCATAATTTTTCAGTTACTTGATTTATTTAGAAATTTTACAGTAGATGTCCCCCTCCCCAAGAGAAGGAAGACTAAGGATGAACAAATGTGGGTGGAGGACATGATTGGCTACAAGCATCACGAACTGACCAATGAACAGGTGACCTGAGGTCACGTGACCGGTGAGACGGAGCAGCCAGGCGTCCGATTGGTCTGGGGGACCTTAGTGTTGCGCCAGACGTCAAGAAGAACAGACGTACCAGGATTAGCTCCGGGCATCTGTGTGTTTGTTGCATCGTGATATTGCGAGGAGCAGCCTAACTTCCCTCTGAGGGGATTTTCCCGACATTCCGAATATTGCTGGATTGAGTTGTAACTGGGTGGCGATAAATGGCCTTGGACCGCTGTATTGCATGTTCTGGGCTTGCAATATTGGAATGTTGACCACTCCACAACCTACTCTGGGAGTTTCATTGACAATTAAGAACAGTTTCGGGTCAACAAACATCGGTGTTTGTAAAAATAAGAGAGTGCAGTGAAAAGTTACGGTGTCTGCAACCAGTGACTGCTCTTCAGTGCGGTACTATTACTGTAAACGAGCGTAGTACAAGCAGGGATATCCTACTGCTCTCCGTGACTTGTTGTGAAGTAGTAAACTGCGAGAAAGCTGTTAGTTCCGCCACTAACTATTTGCAGTCTAAGCTGGACAGTGAAGTGGCACCTGTGACGTAGGTGCCAATGCCACGCCTGAATGTGGTAGTCATCAGGAACCACCTGTTTCTGCAGTGTAGAGTAATTACAGGGATGATCCGGAGGTCACGTGTTAACTTGTCCTGCACATGTTTGACCCGTATGTCATCCTGAGGTCATTTAGGGGGTCCCAAGCTAACTACCTTCCTCCCGAAAAGTGCCAGCAAGTGCCAAGGAACGAGGGGCAGCAATTTCGCGCTAATTGATGGTTCACCAGGGCAACAAATCAATGGGCCAGTCAGCTGTGTGTGGGTAGTCCGGCATCCTCAACGTTCACTACGTCACTAAAGTGATGTGCTAATTTGCCCGAACCTAACCTATCAGCGCACCCACGGATAGAAAACGGGACATCACGTCAGTTTTGCGAAACGCTGTGACGTTTAGTCCATCAGTTTCGGGCCGTAGGGGATGCATACGTCGAAATATGATGTGCTCGAGAGGATGGGGTGTATAATGTAGTGTTGGTGTATAATGTATTTGTACAATTTAGTGCAGTTGTATAATGTAATATTGTTTAATTATCTGTTGTATATTTTTCCGTTGTATAATTTAGTGATGGTGTATAATTACGTCTTTTTGAATAATTTAAAGAAGTATTATAGAGCGCTGCCTTTTCACTGAGTGTTGTTGTATAATTTAATGTTCTATGATTTAGTTTTGTTGTATAATATATTTTTGTTATATAATATATTACTGTTGTATAATTTATTATTGTTGTATAATTTATTATTGTTGTATAATTTAGTATTATACCATTTAGTGGTGTATAGTTTAGTGATATTGTATAATTTACTGTTTTTTATAATTTAGTTTTGTCTAACTCAGTGTTGTATAATTCAGTGGTACTGAGTAATTCAGTGGTACTAAGTAATTAAGTGTTGTATAATTTATTGTTTGTAAACAATTAATTTTTCCTGAATAATTTAATGTTTTATTTAATGTTGCTCTATAATTTGCTCTATAATTCCGACATTCGTCATACAGTGTTAGGTAATTATTGTATTTTTATTTACAACTTTATTTCTTAAAACAATTTTCTTCCGGTTACTAAACTGCGTCTTTATTAATACTCATTAGTTAAATATTTCTTATCAAGTAATTTGATGTGAAATGTATTAAATAAAAAATTCTATAATAAAATAACGTCTTTATTAATCCTTGCTTAGTATAAAGTAGTGAAACACATGTTTGTATTAAACTCTCTTGTGTGTGTCAATATTCAGGTGAAATACTTTCATTAACCTAAATCAAAGAAATATATTTTGCTAAGCATCATTATTATTAATATATATATATATACATACATATATATGTATATATATATATATATATATATATATATATATATATATATATATATATATATATATATATATATATATATACATACATATATATGTATATATATGACCGAATATGGGTAATATTAATAATTCTAACACGAATCTTCTCAATATTTCTTTCTTAAGTATTACTTCACTGTCGAGGGTAATTGAAAAAGTAACTCTCCAAAATTATTTTTTTTCCATTTTTATTTTTGGTCTGACGCCTAAAAGCGTTTCGTAAGGGCGTCTTACATGTTCAAAGTCTGGTTTACACATAACATATATCATGCTTATATTAGTTTTGGGTGAGGTGATATGATACCAATGTTTTGGGTGAGGTGGGTATAAATTGGGCATGAAAACATAAGGATGACACGGGGGAGACATCTCCCGTCACGCAGGGTGCAGTCGCACCTCCACAGATCTCCAGTATCAGCTCTTGATACTGGTAATGACTCAAAAGGGCCACCACTTACGGGCTATTCATGCCCGTGCTACCTTTTGGGTGGCTTAATCTTCATCAATCATCATAAGGATGAAAGTAACTGCAGAAGGCCTATTGGCCCATATTTTCTCTTGTTTCTTCTATGTTGGTTCGGGGTCTTGAAGTGGGAAGAAAGTAATTACGTGTTAACTACCTGTTGATTGCTGGTCTGGACTTCTTAATATGTAGCGCCTCGCTGATGTCGAGTCTCCTGCTGTAGTTATATCTGTCGATTATTTCAGTGTTGCTTGTCGGGATGTCTCTAGTGATGATCTGGTTGTGTGAGGAGATTATATGTTCCTTGACGGAGCCCTGTTGTTTGTGCATTGTTAATCGCCTAGAGAGAGAGACGTTGTTGTCTTGCCTATATACTGAGATCGTTGGGGCTGACAGTCCCCAAGTGGGCATGTGAAGGCGTAGACGACGTTGGTTTCTCTTGAGGCATTTTGCTTGGTGTCTGGAGAGTTTTTCATCAGCAAGTTGGCGGTCTTCTTGTTTTTGTGGTCAACTGTTAGTTGCATGTTCTGCTTGTGTCTCTCGGGATAACGTTCCTCTCAGTAATATCCTTCAGGACACTTTCCTCCGTTTTATGAGCCGTGGAAAAGAAGTGTAACACGGGTTTAGGTTCCTCTCTCTTTACTTCCTTCTTTCTACTCCCTCTACCCGTATTCTTACTTTTATTTCTAAACCCAGGGACTCCAAAACTTTTACCAAAGCCAACTCCACGCCACGTGGTCCTAAGACGATTGACCGACTTAGGATTCTACACCCAGTATGACGTGACCTAAGCTCTGAACAAAACCCTAGAGTCACCTCTGCTGCCACCACCAGACCAGTAATACAAGAGCAATGATCGAGGTCTGGATCGATCACGCTAATTAATCAACCTAGGGGCTTGATCCCCACTATAAACGATGACCTTGAGTGTGGAATAAATTACACGGTAATGATAATTCCGATTCGATGTTAGAATCGGCGCCCAATGCAACTCTGCCTCGTGTGGACCACGTGACCAGGACAAGTATACACATAAAACACATGGAAACAATAAAATGCAAATTAATAACAAATTTAATTTATTAAAAGAAAACTAAAACAAAATCTAAATATGTTCACTCCCTATCACTTTAACACTCCCTACTTGACCTGAGTGGCAAATGAGACTATTTCTATACTTAACAATAGCAACTATACCTTGGGCGACCACAGCTCTAGGTGTTGGGGCTGTTCTTGGGGAGAGGTAAGATGTTGACCTCTTATCCCAGCTGCTTCCGTGACCACACTGCTCTTTTCCTTGTCTGGTCTCCCCCAGACAGAACATTGTATCCTTCCGCCTAGTCAAAGTTCTATCCAGTTACTAGCAAGGTTAAAGTTATAACAATTAACCTCTGTTGTACTTAATTGATCCAGACTGGTTGAATTATTTTACTGAATTAAATTACAAACATCTAACGGCAGAGCTGTTCCCGATCACAAAAATGGTTATTAAAACTTTGAGAAATAGTAGACCTGTCAACCCCTGATGACCTATGACCGCCGGTCACTCCGCCTCAAAAGTTAGATCTGATTCGTGACGTCACTGATGGTGACTTAAACTCAATAATTAGAATACTCTTGATATTGTATCCAGTACTATTATACAATACAATTTTAATGCAAAATGAATAAAGGCTAATTTCTCTAAATTACTGAATACTATAGGATGATTTATTATACGCAGCTATGAACAAAGCGTTGGTTATTTCCACCGCGAATTCCCCTGGGGGTCAGGTCACCATGCGGCTCAGCTTCCCATTCTCTTTTGTCGATAAACCACTCTGGATAATTCTTACAACAGCCTAGTTTGTTACAACCCCCCCGCACAAGCACTTAGTAAACCTTGTTAATTTGTTAAAATTCACGAGGTTTAGTATCCAAACCCACAATTCAACTCATGCCACAAACAAAAGCTAACCTAACTAATAAAATTTGACAAATAATAGTCCAACATCATAATGAACATGTTCATATTTCATAAATTTCTCAGCTGAGTTCCTTTAAAAACCATCCAATAGGAGGTACAGGTGTTGTGTTGGTTGACTCTTCGGAGGTTGCATGGTGTGTCACCTTTCATTTAGTGACGTCTTCAACACAACCGTTAGAGACAATCAGTAATCAACAATCAGTTAACAAATAATTACATTCTACCCACTTCCAGACCCCGAGCCAACGCAGAGGCAGCATCTAATGACCTAACCTCAGGAACATAAACTGCCCGGTTGATACATTTAATACCCAATTAATACCCCTGATCGATTTATTCATTGATATATTTAATACCCAATTAATACCCCCCTTTGTTATGTCATTTATCCATCACCTCGCACAAAGAGTTTATAATCCGATGTTAAACAC